ATCCCAATTGCGTGGATCGATGCTCATGATATTAATCACTGGATTGTCTGGACCAGACTCTATTATTTACAGACCGCCGTCATATAGCTGGAATATTGCTGAGTGCGGCGTTAAACAATAAACCAACCAACCAACTTAACTGATCTTGAAGATTTGAATTTGGTGCCGGAGAAGTAGAATGGTGCTATTCCATGGATTGACGTTTAGACTCGGAATCATACTGGGAGACCCATGTTTCATCACGCGTCACGAAATCCTCCTTAATTTGGTCTAAATTTTATCTCGCAATGTCAGTTTCTTTTTCCTTAGGCTCAGAATTTAGAAACTTTAGCACCCAAAGAGCAGATATCTTATTCATCTGTAAATGTTCACAAATAACAGTTTCAATTCCATGGCTTAGAACTGTGTCTCCCTCAAGTTCATCAATCGTAATACGTCTATCCGACAGTATAAGTTTTTCTATCTATTTCGATTGAATCGTCATTGATGGAAGTTGAGGGACGTCCAGACCTAGGGTCATCATCAAGGCTTGTTCTCCTAGCTTAAACATAGCTGCCCAACGTTTAACAGTGGAATAGCTAGGACACTAATCCCCATACACTTGTGACATGTGGTTATGAATTTCTTGGGGCGTACTTTTTTTCTAAAATCAAAAACTTGATGACTGCTCGGTACTCGTACTTTTCCATTTCTGTGCCCATTTGGACCCCCATCACGTTCAACTGGCTGTCACTAATATACAAACGTCCTCAACAGACCAAACACACTTGCAATGAACTACTCGAACAATGTACTGCATTGAATAGTTCACTCTGTTATGGGTCATATAGCTGAAAGTTAGTCAGGATTTCATTTTTTTGACCAGACCTCTTATGTACGGATGTTTTGTTACGTGGGTAACCAGAAGCGAATTCACCTGTTCTATTATGTATATATACTGAAGCACCTCGAAGACGCAGGGTGGATTTTGACTCTTGGTAAGTAACAAGTGACTGGAAGCTGATGTCCAGGTATGACAACGTGAATGGGGATTCGAACTCAGACAGCAATATTGCATGCAGCCTTCAGGTCTCACTACCATACACCGATTTCAGTTCGTTGATAAAATATTTAATTCCCACGTTCCACTATGAGTTTTGAGGGTGTGTCCAAATAATACACATACATGTCATGTCTATTTTAATATATGGGGGCTGTCGGGTAGCCTAGTGGTTAAAGTAATCGCTCGTCACGCCGATGGGTACCATTTGTGGTGTCCCCCGCAGTGATATTGCAGGAATATTGCTAAAAGCGGCGAAAAACCTAACTCACTTACTTTAATATATGACATTTTGTTTATGGAAGAAGGCAACAGCTTATTAAGTGTGATTTTATTTGTATCGAACCAAACTACCACAATATGAAGACATAGTCATCCACACATCGCCTCCGTGGTCTAGTGGTAGACCGTCCGCCCGGAGAGTAGAAGGTCCGGGGTTCGATCCCCGGTCGCGTCTTACCAAAAGACGTTAAAAGATGGTACTTCTTGTTACCCTGTCAGAGCTTGGGCTAAAAGAAGGACTGGTCGGCTCGGAGTCAGTATACTATGTCTGCACATATAGTGTATACTAAACTGCAGCATGGTATCTCAGTGTGCTAGCACTATAAATCGGCATCAGTCCGGACTAGTATAAGCAGCCACACACACGCATGTACACGCACGTCGCTATACAAGTGAAATAATCTTGGACGCGACGTTAAACCCCATTTCACCTCACCTCATTTTATACAACATTTCGGATTACACCTAGCGCACAGCAGAGTGATAATCTGCATCCTCGCAAAGATACATCATACAGGCTGGTGTGCTTTTCCTTACCTTGAAAACTGCCAGTGTCCTCTGATATATGGGAAATCCTCTTGAGCCGGTCTAGGGTGGACGGTCGGGCCATACCGGAGTATTTGGCTGTATCGTGGAACGCCTCGCCTCGAAGTGTTAAAAACAACATGCCGGACAAGTTAAGGTTAATAATCCCGTCACGTACGACCCGACCTGTTGTAAGCGCGTCACGATCGTATCGTATGATATGAATGGATGCGCATTGGTGATTGTTCCTTGATTTGAAACTCGTTCGATGTGGAACTAGCGAATCTTAATGTGAGTGTTTTAAGTACAGTCGCTCCAGATAACATTTTGAGCAAATGAGTTTTTACTCGAAGGTTTTTATTTTAATTCAGTTATTACATTTTCCATGGGGTAACAATTATTTTTTCACTCATCTATTGATCACTCTTTTGGGTTTTTCCCAAAACGAGTTAACATTTTGAGATTTCAATAAAATAAAATAATGTTTCAGATGTATATAAGGGTTCTAACTATAGGCTTGACCCAGAAAGTAAATCAGCTCGTAATTGTGTTTCGGAACTTAGCTCTGTTGTACGCATGCTGAAAAAAGCTTCATTAGGTATTTACGCGTACTGTTTTATACATTTGAGTTTTTCTTTTAATGCATGCGTTTCTGTACGCAAGTTAATTGAAAGTAATTGGGTTTTGATTATTTTTCTGGGGGGTGGGATGGGGGGTATTTTACGCAAATACGCAGCTTATCTGTAGCTCTGACAGTCGCATCGGTGATATTTCAGCGATTCTGTGATGATAAAACAAACCATGTATTTATACACGCCTGGAATGTGTTTTTTTCAGAGCTTAAAAATGATAGGACTATTACAGTATTACAAAATATAATACGGACTATATAGATCGCCAGCAGGCATGAAATTGGTATGTGGTAGTGATGTAATGATGTTTTATCGCTAGAAAAATGGAAAAAAAAATTAAAAGCGCACTTTGCAATTTTTGTCATTATTGTAAATACATTGTAATATTTTTTATTGGCGGAATGGCTTGTTTTCACTTTAAGAGTATGAGCACGCCTTCAGATATCGTTAATTAATCACCGTGAACAATGGTGATTCTATTTCAAGTAGCAAGGACTATAGTATTTCTCTCATACAGGAAAAGGCAGAGAAGGTATATCTGAGTACTACGCTACCCACATTTCGACACTTAACTCGTTTAAGTGTCAAAACAATCGTAAATATTGTTAACACCTGCGTCCACAATCAACTGATAATGCTGTCGTCATAAACACTGTGAACATTGAGCCTTGTTCCACGCTCAGCTGCTCTGTCAACGTGACAACGCATAGCAGTTCACGCGTGGACAAGACACGCCATTTCTATTCGTATGACTGATCCCTGGGGGGTCTGGTCTTCAAGTAATGCGATTTTGGTTCACAAAACCTTAAGACCTGAGTTTGGATACTATATTCCGTAAGCGTACCGCGTTAAATTCCACATACGTTCTTTGCTAATTCCATACCGTTAATTTTGCAAATATACAGCGCTAATACCACACTCCCACCGGGGATCCGGGGTAGAAGAGGTCTTCAGCAACCCATGCCTGCCGTTAAAGGCGACTATGCTTGTCATAAGAGGCGACTAACGGGATCGGGTGGTCAGGCTCGCTGACTTGGTTGATGCATGTCATCGATCCCAAAGGGAGTAAACTCGTTCAAACTATTGTGACAAATGTTGCATTAAACATCATTTGTCACAATATTTTGAACGAGTTTACTCCCCTTGGGTCGACGCTCAGAATTAAGGATGAATTATCTCCCTTCCCAACATTCCTGGTGTTTGTTTACATATACCCTGAGGGTTCTCCTGTATATGCTAATGAGGAGGACAGTGGACAGTGTAGACAAGTTAGAACGCCAGTTAATACATATTATCCATGATTATGGTGACTTGTGTAAATTTATCCTATGTGGAGATTTTAATGCAAGGACTGGTCAGGAATTAGATTATTTGATAGATGATGAGATAGATTATTTACCTATTGATAACGAATACACTTCAGATGAATTTTACCAACAACGATGTGTCAGTGATTTTCATATAAATAACTATGGTAGAGCCTTACTTGACCTGTGTAAGTTACGTGGGGTTCACATCGTTAATGGTAGGACAAACCCAGATAGTCCAGGTAATCTTACTTTCATTTCTCACACTCTAACTCCTAATGTATGGCTTTCCTATTTTGAGAATTTATTGAATCCGATGTGCATGACGGCCAAAACAGAATTTGATCTATTAATATCCGACTTTTAGATACTCATATGTGTGATGAATAAAATGATCTTCCATTCACGGAAGAATTGTTATCTGGTGAGATCACAGAACAAGAAGTGAGGGAAGCATTACAAAGTCTTAAAAATGGTAAGTCGTCAGGCGTTGATTGAGTCCCACCAGAATTTTACAAAATATCAGTAGATTTTTTAATACCATATTTGTTGTTTTTATTCAATAAAATCCTTGATACAGGTATTTTCCCCGATGCATGGGATATTGGAATGATAATGTCTTTATACAAATCAGGAAATGTCAGTCAACCAAACAATTACAGAGGTACGAGGGATGGTCAATAAGTTCATAGAACATGGTACCTAAATGAACCCAGCAGAAGATTTGATGATTGTATCGTATTCTGGCATCTTTCATACCAGTGTCTACAAGAGTATAGGTGGTTACACCCATTAGTAATGTTACGGTACTTATTTGATGTGAGGTACCCTTGTTAAAATATGGATAGCTCCAAAACTGAGTATAGGGCTGTGATCAAATTTCTTACCAAAGAAGGAGTAAATGCTCGCACAATTCACGAGCGCATGGTTAATGTCTACAGTGAGGATGTCCTCAATATTCCGTAGCAAAATGGGCTACTGCGTTTAAGCGCGGACGTACATCACTTGAAGATGACCCACGGTCTGGCAGACCAGCAGATGTCATCACAGATGAAATTGTGGCCAAAGTTCAAAATATAATTATGACTGATCGCCGCATCAAGGTGGATGAAATTGCCTCAGAGTGTGGTATTTCTCATGGAAGTATTTGCAATATCATCCATGAACGTTTGCGTATGTCTAAAGTGTCTGCCCGATGGGTACCCCGAAATCTGAATGCGCAAGATCGTCACCAACGAGTGGAATCAAGTCGAGAGCTCTTGGACATTTATGGGGCAGATCCAGAGAATTTTCATGTTCGCCTTGGGACTTGAGATGAAACCTGGATTCATCATTGGGATCCAGAAACCAAAAAGGATTCTAAGCAGTGGAAGCACAAGACATCTCCGCCGCCAAAGAAAGTTTAAGACTCAGCCATCTGCTGGAAAGATCAGGGCCACCGTTTTCTTGGATTCCAAGGGCGTCTTAATGATAGATTATAAGCCACCAAAGAAGACAATCACTGGTGCTTACTATGCAGATCTAATGAAGAAATTGCCAAATGCAATCAAAGAGAAACAGCGCGGGATGTTAACTGCTGGTGTTTTGCTACTTCACGACAATGCGCCTGTCCACAAGAGTAGAGTTGCGCAAGCCGCCATTCGTGAATGCAAGTTTGAACATTTGAATCATCCCCCATATAGTCCAGACCTGGCACCAAGTGACTATTATCTGTTTCGAAATCTCAAGTCACACCTGCGTGGAACGAGATTCGCCAATGATGACGACCTCATTGCAGAAGCTTGGTTTGGGGGGGCAAGCAGAAGACTTCTATTTTCAGGGAATTGAGAGTCTACAGCTTAAATGGGAAAAGTGTATTCAAGTGCAGGGAGATTATATTGAAAAATAAAAACATGAAACTCCACGTACACCTTGTTTTTATATTGAGTTCTATGAACTTTTTGACCATCCCTCGTATATCTGTTTTAAATGTCATGGGAAAGCTATTTGCATTTATTATTGAAAAACGAATTTGGCTTGAAATAAATGATATGATATCTGAAGCTCAAGCAGGGTTTCGCTCTGGGTATTCTACAGTTGACAATATCTTTGTTCTACAGTCACTTTGCTCAAAATATTTATGTAAACCCAGGGGTCGTTTGTTGATTTCCGCAAAGCTTTTGATGATAGAAAAAAACTGCTGTACCTATTGATCACTAAAGGATGTCGTGGAAAACTGTCAATAGTTCTTAAGAATATGTATTCCTCAGTCAAAGCATGTATTAAAACTGACTCGGGTACAATTCCTTGTTTTACTATTTCCAGTGGTGTTCGTCAAGGATGCATCTTGAGTCCAGTCTTATTCATCTTTTTTATAAACGAACTTGTTTATGAAATTTACAAAGAATGTCATCATGGTGTATTTGTGAAACGAGATATTATAGATATTATGTTATTGTTGTTCACGGATGATGTTGCTCTGGTGTCCTACTGTTTGGTAGGCTTGCAGAAACAGCTTAATGTATTGCAGTCCTTTTGTATTAAGTGGGGTTTAGAAGTAAACCTTGTGAAACCCAATGTTATTGTTTTTAGAAATGGTGGAATTGTATCGAAGCATGAAAATTGGATATATGGTGATAAACATTTAAAAGTTGCAAGTTATTATAAGTATTTAGGACTATTAATGTCCTCAAGATTAAATTGGTCCAAGGCTTGTAAGACATACGCGCTACAGGCATCTAAGGCAATTTTTCCTGTCTATAAATTATTCAAGGAAAATAAATATATCTCATTTTCAACAGCAAATTCGATATTTGATGGTAAAATTCTACCCATTTTGTTGTACGGCTCGGAAATATGGGACATTAAATAATTTGAATCCACTGAGAAAGTTCACGCTTTGTATTTTAAGCAGTGTTTATGCATTGGTAAATGTGCTTCAAATAAGGCAGTACTTGGTGAAACTGGTCGCTGTAGTATATACGTACACAGCCAGCTGCGTGTTGTTAAATCTTGGATAAAATTATTAAAAATGGAAGCTCACAGGTACCCATTTCAATGTTACAAAATGCTAAAACAATTAGATGGTGAAGGGAAAACGAATTGGGTGTCTGGTGTAAGAAGCATATTATTTAATACTGGATTATTAGACATATTTCAGCAAAACTGGCACCAACAAGTTTCCTCTTCACACTTCCTCAAGCATTATGCTGGTATTAAATCATTGTTACAACCAGGAAAATATTTAAGCATATTACAAGATAAAACTCTGTTGAGAGGTCTTTGTAAATTTAGAATATCAATAAATAACCTTCTGTTCGATGGTTATGACACTACCCCCCCCCCCCCCCCCCCCACACACACACACACACACACACCATGACACTCCCTCCCCCCAATCGATCTGTCTGTACAACGCAGTCATTGGTAACGTTCTCCACGTCGACGCCAAACTCGCAGTCGACCGTCAGCATTCCGTAAATGAAAACGGGACTCTTCAGAGAACAGCACACAATGCCACTGCCGCAATCTCCAATGACGATGCCTTTTGGCCCAACGCAGACGTTCATTTCGATGTCGATCAGTGAGTATGGGTCCAACATATGGACGTCGAGCACGTAGCCCTGCTGAGCGGAGACGTCGACGTACGGTGTCAGCGCTGATCAAACCCCGTCGGCCTTGTACGGTTGCTGCAGTCCTGGTAGCCGGAAGTGTACGATCACGAAGATGCCGACGAAAAATATGGCGATCCTGACGTGGTGTAGTTACACGACGTTGACCCGGACGTGGTCGATCTCTGGTGGTTCTTGTCTGCTGGTATCTGCTCAGTAGCCTTAGGACTGTTGTATGATGGCATTGAAACCGTTGTGCAACGACTCTACTTGACGTACCAGCTTGAAGCATGCCAAGGCACGTTCACGTTCCTCTGCTGTTAATCTTGGCATTTGTTGTGTCAGTACCCTTTACGTCTGCAGCAACAAGTGATGTGGCTTTTAAAAATCTGTCTTTTATGGCCCTATTCTGCATGCTTCCCATGAATCAAAACACGTTTTCCATGATGTGCACGCAATTTGTTGCGTTTTGGCGATGTCGCTCACAACAAATTTAGGAATGTGTTTTGACGAGCTGTTCTTCTTCATGCTTCGTCCAGAACGGCGTATATTACTTTCACTTATATATTTTCATATGACTTAGCCCGGATAAAATTACATCCATTTTCATGGTGGTGCGTTTTCAATGCTGTTCAGTATATTATAATTTACAACAAAACCTCTTCTTGTTATTTTTTTTTTATCAATCATGGAACTCGACCTATACTTTCTTTTGCCGCCCAGTTTATTTGAAACATGTATTTAGACTCAGGTGAATATATTATACTATGTTCAAGATCACGTTGATTTTTATGTGTCCATTAAAACTGAACTGTACTATGGGCCATATGGCCTTGCATACTGAATAAACTGTCTGTCTGTCTGACAGCACATGGCAGGATTGAATGAAAAAAAGGATCGATGCTCATGCTATCAATCACCGTATTGTCTGGTCCAGACTCGATTATTTACAGACTGCCGTCATATAGCTGGAATAATGCTGAGTGCGACGTTAAACAACAAACAAGTAAACAACCATCAAAGGAACTAATCATAAAACATACATTTTACCCATTGATCCCTGATCAATACAAGCATAATACATAAACCCTCTGCTGGGTAAAATAGAGAGCGTCTGGTGGGAACGCTAGATCAACCTTGGCAGTATCATTTAACATTCATTTGATGTAGGCTAGCTGTGTACAAGTAACGTGTGTGTTTCACCGTGGAGCCGTGACGAGAATCTCTCGGGGAAGATTGTGTTCTCACTTAACGAGAGTTAAGACTCCATGGGACACAGCCAGACATAATTCTCGCCCGCGTTCAGTCATGCTTCACTCAATTTTAAACATACAAACTTGTCTCGTTTCTAAAAGGAAGAAATAATGCCAATGCGACGTTACATTGAAACATTCATTCTTCATGTTGGCAAAGGGCCGATACATACCCACGACCACATCTCCCACAAAAAAGTAAGGTATCATGAAACACAAATGTTATGACCTGGCGTTAGAAAAAAGATCAGCTTTGAAAAATGACTGCCAGGGATAGAAGGGTTGCGGGACCAAAACCCCTAGCAGCAAAACGCAAAAAATACACCCCGACCCCCAGAAAAGTATTCAAAACCCAATTACTTTCAATTAACTTGAGGGGGCACGGGTGGCCCAGTCGTCTGAGGCGCCGCGATTCGCTGTGCAGAGTTGCGTCCCTTGGCCACGCCAGAAACCTATGATTGTGGGTTCGAATCCCGGTTCGCCCCTATTATGTTTCTAGGTTTGTCAGCACCATACCCGTGCTCGTGGGTTTCATCGAAGTAGTAAACGTCTGAGACCTGCATCACTTCGGGCTTTCCTCCGACATTAAGCTGACCCGCCGCGATATAACTGGAATACTGTTAAAAGCGGCGTTAAACCCAACTCACTCACTGTAATCATCTGTTATTTTCGAATATGCCCTACTATTTTGGAGGGTATATATGCATCGCTATAGTTCCTAAAGCATTGTCCTACATGGGGATACATATATCCAGTGTCCAGTAATTATTGGCACGTATGAATCTGCGAGATAATATCTGTGAATCAGGGCACAGCTATTGCTGTAAACATTAGGACATTTTACCGTCGTGAAGATCCGGGTCAGAATTAGTCTTTAGCATCGTAAGATGCGAGCAAAGGGATCGCGTGGCCAGGCTCGCTGACTTGGTTGATGCATGTAATCGTTTCCCACAAACGTATTATGCTAATTCCTTACCGTTGAATTTTATTATTTTTTTATTTTCGCAAATACAGATAGCTAATTCTGCACTCCTACCGCGTTCATTCCATTCATAAACATTGGGCGGTAATTCCATAAATCTCCCGCGTCACACCCACAAACGTACCGCGGTCATTCCTTTACGTGCGGCGTTAATTCATGAAACGTACAGCGTTATTTCCGGACCAATATTCAAGCAATATCACGGCGAGGCACACTAACAGTACATTGTACCCATGTGGGGAATCGAACTGTAAAGCTGCAATTTACAAGCAAAGCTGTACCGTCACACATGATAAAAAACCGTGGGAATTTATGATATTTATTCAATGAAACTTGCAGGGTTTGCCAACTTCCCCTTTAAGACACAACTAAAACGCAGTCATGGAATCAAGATTATATTCATGCGGAAACGATAAAAAGAAATAATCGCTATGTAACACCTTCAACATGACACCTGCACACGTGCTTCTTGCACAAGACCTGCTCCCTGGGGTCTATTGTTCCCTATTACAAATTAACTATTTCCTTGGTATTAGACTGTTCCCGTTCACTTGTCTTCTTTGTAACGTGAATACGCACTGATGAACATGTGTCGAGACCTGTACATACTAATGATGACAATAAAAAGTGGCAATAAAACCTGTTTCTCAGCTTCCAACTTAATCCACTGAACACACATAGGAGACTGCTAGTGTATCTCACTATGAGGTAAGCGGGCCTCACAGGTGTGTTTGAGCTACACTGGTGCAGGCGACTCGTTTTCTCGACCCTTTCCACTAGCGCCGGGAATCCATTTCCTGGACCCTTCATCACCAGCTCATCGTGGTGGATGAACTAGAAGAAGGATGAAGATAGTTTTTCTTCTTCGCCCCCTCTTTGTCTTGGCTGTGTTTGTGGGACACGCCACTTCGATGCATAAGTTTTCAAGAGTTTTAAATCTCGAAAACCTTCTCCCAAATGAAAGCCCGTCCAGTACGTCTGGTTCCGGAACCCTGCCGGACTGTGCCGGACTGTGTGCACGAGATGATCTCTGCATCAGCTTCAGTATCACTGGTGGTCAGTGTTCCATCTACAGGACATCCTTGACAACTTCTGAAGGTGCAGACCCCGGGGCCAGGTCTTACAAGAAGGAGGGAGCTGCACCCCAGACAGGTACGTTGCATTTCTCATATAAGTACACTTACAAGTTGGTCGTTACAGAGGAATCTTGTAAGAGGAAGGGCATAAGGGGATGGACGTGAGAGGAAGGACGTAAGAGGAAGGACGTACGAGAAGGAAAGTCAGGGGAGTGTATGCGGAAGGACGTGAGAGTGTGACGTACGAGTGTGATGTTAGAGTAAGACGTAAGAGGAAGGACGTAAGAGTATGGCGTAAAAGAAAGACAAAAGAAAAGGACGTAAGCCTATGACGTAAGAGAGACGTAAGAGGAAGGACGTAAAGGGAAGGGCGTTGGAGTAGGACGCGAGAGTAGGATGTGAGAGTAGGATGTGAAGAAGAAAGACGTAAGAGGAAGGATGTGAGAGAAGGACGTAAGGGGACGGGGCGTAAGGGAAAGACGTAATAAGAAGGACGTAAAAGGAAGGGCTTGAGAGAAGGACGTAAGGGTAGGGTATATGGGGGAGGGCGTGAGAGTAGGATGTGAGAGTTGGGAGTAGAGAAAGGACGTAAGAGTGGGACGTGAGAGAAGGACGTAAGGGGACGGGGCGTAAGGGAAAGACGTAATAAGAAGGACGTAAAAGGAAGGGCTTGAGAGAAGGACGTAAGGGTAGGGTATATGGGGGAGGGCGTGAGAGTAGGATGTGAGAGTTGGGAGTAGAGAAAGGACGTAAGACTATGACGTAAGCCTATGACGTAAGAGAGACGTAAGAGGAAGGACGTAAAGGGAAGGGCGTTGGAGTAGGACGCGAGAGTAGGATGTGAGAGTAGGATGTGAAGAAGAAAGACGTAAGAGGAAGGATGTGAGAGAAGGACGTAAGGGTAGGGTATATGGGGGAGGGCGTGAGAGTAGGATGTGAGAGTTGGGAGTAGAGAAAGGACGTAAGAGTGGGACGTGAGAGAGGGACGTAGGGACAGGGCGTAACAGAAGGACGTAATAAGAAGGACGTGAGAGTAGGATTTGAGAGAAGGGCGTAAGAGGAAGAATATGAGAGAACAACGTGAGAGTAGGACGTACGAGAAAGGACGTAGGGGTAGATGGGAAGAACGTAAGAGGAAGGACGGAAGAAAAGGACGTAGAGGACATACGGTAGAGTAGAAGGTAATAGAAAAGGACGTGAAAGTAGGACTCGAGATTAGAAGTGAGTGAGTGAGTGAGTGAGTATGGTTTTACGCCGCTTTTAGCAATATTCCATTCCGCCCAACCAAACAAAGAAAACAGAGGTCTTGTTATATCCTTGTGAAATATGCAGATTATCTCAGCTTCTTTGCTGTAGTTCACCTCTTACGGGCCCCACATTACTATAGTCTTGATGATAATCATTCGTGAACTTGAACGATTTAACTTGTCTGGAAGTCAGAATTAAGGCATGTTATTCCCAAGAGTTTGGTTCATAGGTTACGATGATTGACATAAAGGGACATATTTGTAGACTATTATTATTCATAATCGTGTTCTACAATGCTAACAGTTTCCATCGATCAACGGGTAGCCATAATATACGGCGATAGAAGGCTTCAAAGACATAGAGTTTTATAATAGGAAACATATTCTTTAATAAGACTCTGTTAAAGAGTGCTTTTTGTCTCATTAATATTTACGCTCCCTGCTTCAGCCTGGTCCATTTGGGTGACCAGAGTATTACTATTTTTAACTTTTAAAGATGAAATACATGTTACACCACATACATTTGAGCCAAATGTGAATAAGCCAGATACAGACTGCTTATAGACTGGTTTAAGCTTGTTGTATTGCCCATACTATGTGTGTATAGCTCTATTATTCAAGCCGTTTGGCTGCTACAGAAGAAGAGGGATTAAAGTGTTGCCTTAACTTCAACACAAACCTTTGAATACGTATCACCTGTGAAACAATAACTCGCGTGCTTACACTTCGAAATATTTTAGAAAACTATGGAATTTTTATAAAACTATTTGATAGGTCATACACCACACAGCATCACTTTGTGTGCGCGTGCGTGCATGTGTGAGTGTATGTGGGATCTCCTAGAGTGTGTGCATGGGATCCTTTAGGGTGTGTGTGTGATCCCTCAGGGCGTGTGTGTGTGAGTGTGTGTGTGTGTGTGTGATCCCTCAGGGCGTGTGTGTATGAGTGTGTGGGGGATCGCCTAGAGTGTGTGCATGGGATCCTTTAGGGTGTGTTAGTGATCCCTCAGGGCGTGTGTGTGTGAGCGTGTGTGGGATCTCCTAGAGTGTGTGCATGGGATCCTTTAGGGTGTGTTTGATCCCTCGGGGCGTGTGTGAGTGATCTCCTAGAGTGTGTGCATGGGATCCTTTAGGGTGTGAATGATCCCTCAGGGCGTGTGTGTGTGGGATCTCCTAGAGTGTGTGCATGGGATCCTTTAGGGTGTGTATGATCCCTCAGGGCGTGTGTGTGTGTGAGTGTGTGTGGGATCTCCTAGAGTGTGTGCATGGGATCCTTTAGAGTGTGTTTGATCCCTCGGGGCGTGTGTGTGTGAGTGTGTGTGTGATCTCCTAGAGTGTGTGTGTGTGGGGGGGGAGTGTGTGATCCCTCAGGGCGTGTGTGTGTGAGTGATCTCCTAGAGTGTGTGCATGGGATCCTTTAGGGTGTGAATGATCCCTCAGGGCGTGTGTGTGTGTGAGTGTGTGTGGGATCTCCTAGAGCGTGTGCATGGGATCCTTTAGGGTGTGTATGATCCCTCAGGGCGTGTGTGTGTGTGAGTGTGTGTGGGATCTTCTAGAGTGTGTGCATGGGATCCTTTAGGGGTGTGTGTGATCCCTCAGGGCGTGTGTGTGTGTGTGGGGGGGATCTCCTAGAGTGTGTGCATGGGATCCTTTAGGGGGTGTGAGATCCCTCAGGGTGTGTGTGTGTGTGTGACACTAATGATTCAAGGGTCCTGTTCACTCTCTACAGATTCAGGGATGGCACCACCTCTAGTTGCTGCTCCGCCTTAGGAATGATTGAACAGAGGACAGGATTCCGTATCTGGCTGAAGACAAGATCACCGAAACGGTCACCTTCGAGAGGAGAGTTTATAAGTTGGTGTACAATAAATATCAAGAATATAGATGTAAACGTTTGATTTTTTTTGGGGAAAGATCTTGATTTAATGTCCATTTTTTCTGTAACACTTCGTCCCAACAAGGGTTGATAGATTGTGATGGCTGCACTGTTCTCGATTTGTTCTTTTAGCTGTCCATGACTTCCCTGGATTGTTCGCCGACGCCATCTTTGTTTCTTTGATATCACGCGCATTCTCTCATCCGGGTACCCTGGGTCGTCGGTCGGAGCGGTGATGCGTTCATACACTTTTGAATCCAAGATGGCCGACCCGATACGGTTGTTATAGAAATTTATCATCCAAAACTGGCTCCCACAGGAGATATCGCTTGGGTGAGATCAAGCGATATCTACATTGTAGATGTCGCTGCAATGAAATTGCATCACAATGCTTTGCAGACCATTGTGACGTCATTGGTTACCATGACATCACTAATGGCTCTGCTACTGAAGCTCTTAGCAGTACTTTTTACACTTAAGACACTGCTTATTACTGTCTACAAACTGAAAATGTTGGAAGAAAGATGTTGGATGATAAATAAAATCTCACCCTCGTGTCTTTTGATATCAAATACGTATATCAACACTCGTTGATAAACCTTTTATCAACAGTTACTTGTGTTCATATTTTTGATATCAAAAGACACTCGGGTGAGATTCTCTATATCTGGGTGGTTATGGGGCCATTTTTCATTTTCAAAGTCTTAAAACCACTTGATATTTGATATCGTAATCAGTGTATTTTTTTTCGAAAGGAGGATAAGAAATAATAAGTATAAGAATAAGAAATTATTACGCTCGCATTTGTGTCACACTGATTTTACGAAGCTCGTGTATGCATTCATGTATTACCCTCGCTCTCGCTCGGGAAATGCAAGAATTCTGACACTCGTTTCGTTATGACACACGTTTGTTTAAATATCTCTATTTAGTTACTGTATGGAATGCGTTAGTCAGAATAACAGAAAGTACGTCCCTAAATAATCATTGTGTGTTCAAGCCAGTCGTTTTTAGTCCTTCTCTTACCGTAGTTATCCAAATGACAAGATTTTTGTCATCTATTCAAATATATAATAACAGTGGTGTGGTATTTAACGTAATATTTATTCAATCATATACGTATGCAATCTAGAAGACTGAATTACGTAAATCATCTGAATTTCAATGTCTTGATTTTTAGAAATTATATTGACAATATCAACAACACGGTTACCTGAATTAGATTATTGTCAATTCGTTTATGATAACAAATGTTTATTTTAAACTTTAAAGTCATTTTATCATATCTACCTTGTACATTTAAACTATCTCACGCTGTCTCTTAATGTAATTTTTTCACGATGCTACGAATGTAGGTTATATGTGACTTAGCAGCGTTCTCTCTGTTTTAATGTTATAGCCGGTCGACCTTTGCCAAATTCATTCCCCCACCCTATCTCAGTCATTGTGACGCTAACCTACGGGAAAACGGGTGTGGGTTGAGAATGAGGTTAGACAATTAGCCAGGTCACACATTTCTATGGTAACCGCCCGACCCTCATTAGTCGGCTCTTACGTCAAGCATCGGCCTCGATTATCCAGTGTATGATATCTCCTTTCTGTTATGATACGTACCCTGAACCCATATTCTCCACCATACAGCGTGATCGCTTCGTTCCGGAAGTGACGTCACACGTCCGTTTCTCTTATCAATTACTCAGCTGCAATTTCTTTCCGCGTGAGTGTAGTTTGATTGGATGTCTGTTTTTAGCGTTGCGTCATTCAAATCGGACTCAAAAGGCAGTTATGGAAGTGATTGTGTATTTTTCATAACAGAATGCGGGGCACGGGTGGCCCAGTCGTCTAAGGCGCCGCGATTCGCTGTGCAGAGTTGCGTCCCTTGGGCACGCCAGAAACCTATGATTGTGGGTTCGAATCCCGGTTCGCCCCGATTATGTTTCTAGGTTTGTCAGCACCATACCCGTGCTCGTGGGTTTCACCGAAGTGGTAAACGTCTGAGACCTGCATCACTTCGGGCTTTCCTCCCACATTAAGCTGACACGCCGTGATATAACTGGAATACTGTTAAAAGCGGCGTTAAACCCAACTCACTCACTCACTCGCTCATAACAGAATGCAGATATTATATGCTATTCTGCCTCGGTGTGACACAGTGTGATGGGGGCGGTGGGGTAGCCTAGTGGTTAAAGCGTTCGCTCGTCACGCCGAAGGCCCGGGTCCGATTCCCCACAAGGTAACAATTTGTGAAGCCCATTTCTGGTGTCCTCCGCCGTGATATTGCTGGAATATTGCTAAAAGCGGCTTAAAACCATACTCACTCACACAGGGTAACGTGACCAGCAAGTAATGGGTTGTCGTTTTTTTTATAAATCGCCGCAAATCTAAGACCATAGACTAAAAGGAACAGGATGATTACGAAATGCTTTTTTAGAATATTGTTATACATTCCCTGATTGTGCAATAACCGATAATTGTGGTTCACTTTTCTGTACACAATAGCAAGCTGCAGCTTAATAAATTGGAAAATTACATTATGTGTTATATATTTGAGTGTCAAAACATGTTTGTTTGTCAACGAAACAACCGTTCTTCGTTTAATAAAACTGTACTGCTTGATTGCTCGTTTCTAGCTGTTCTTCAAGTATGTTTTTATGGCGACATTTAACAAGTCAAGATCAGTCATGCATATATAGCTCACCTGACTGAAAGACAAGTGAGCTTATGTCGCGGCTTGTCTTTGTCCTGCGTCCGGCGTCCGGCGTCCAAGTTAACATCCTCTTCTCCGAAACCACACATGCTTGTTATCAATGAAAATGACACCTAAAGTAGTTCAAGTAGTTCGAATTCGATTTTCAATATGGCCACTACGGCTGCCATATTGTTTTCAAAATGTAATGAAATTTGTTACATAAATGTGTGTAGTTAGTGACTCAACATATATGTTGATTTATTTTTTTGCGATGTTCTCTTTTTTCAACTTCATGTGGCATTCCTATAATCATGTAATATCTGATAACAAGGTAGCTTTCATCTGATATCTATGGAGGGAGGGTAGGGGTGGATAGTTGAACATCAATAACTAGTTCAGAAATATGCCCTAAATAAATAGTTTTTTGGAAAATACCCAAGCGTCATTTTTTTATGTGACAATCCTTTAAATTCTCTTAAAATGCATTTCCCCCAGTGTGCACATCATCTCCTATATAACTGCTGAAGCGGTGAAGTTGCAACCTCACATGCGTGCTCTCACCAATCAATCACATCACCTGAATTTGTTCAAGAGGTAATCCAAATTCCAACATGGCCCCCACGGCGACCATGTTGAAAACCACATTTATGGACAACATTTGACCTTGTTTGGACGTTTGTGTTTTGACCATGCTCACAAATTCTCTCAAATGCATTTTCGTCTCTGTTGACTCTCCTCTGAAATTGCCCGACTGAGGAAGTTAATCTTTGAAGACCATATTAATGTAGTGTTAATTTGTCATACTCAGTAGTTGTGCAGAAAATATTTGAATATCAATTTTAAGTGACTGTCCTCATTGACTCGTTAAATCTGTTGACGTCATAGCCAGGTGAGCTACACTACAGTGGAACTGCTTTTATATTATTCTTTATGACATAAATGTATATTTTTTTAGCTGTCGAATACAGAAATGTTTTGTCTATGCAAAGAATCTGGCAACATCAGCTGAAGATAATCGATACAAACCAGTGACACGAGGAGCAACGTCGCTTGGTTGGTTGATTGATTTGTTGATTAACGCCGCACTCAGCAATATTCCAGCTATATGACGGCGGTCTGTAAATAATCGAGTCTGGACCAGCCAATCCAGTGATTAATATCATGAGCATCGATCCGCGCAATTGAGATCGATGACATGCATCAACCAAGTCAGCGAGCCTGACCACCCGATCCCGTAAGTCGCCTTGTACGACAAGCATAGTCACCTTTTACGGCAAGCATGGGTTGCTGAAGACCTATTCTATTCCGGAATCCACGTCGCTTGGATACCAAATGAAGTCACCGAGCAAAACTACCCGATAAGGTACCGGTGACCTATTTTAATATCGAGGTTACACATCAGATTGCATGTCAGAGCCGCATTTAAAAAAGCAACCACAGCGCTACATATCTCTATCAAAATACCCATGGCCATGGGCCTACCTGTTAGTTAGGTCCGTGCATTCTTAGTCGTATATCGATAAATCTGTGGCATTGGGCCCTTATGCATTGGCATTCATAATACAAGTTCGAATTTATATTACATGCATTTAACATTTGACCTATGAGTGAGTGAGTGAGTTGGGTTTAACGCCGCTTTTATCAGTATTCCGGTTATATCACGGCGTGTCAGCTTAATGTGGGAGGAAAGCCCGAAGTGATGCAGGTCTCAGACGTTTACCACTTCGGTGAAACCCACGAGCACGGGTATGGTGCTGACAAACCTAGAAACATAATTGGGGCGAACTGGGATTCGAACCCACAATCATAGGTTTCTGGCGTGCCCAAATCGCGGCGCCTTAGACGACTGGACCACCCGTCCCCTCTTTGACCTATTAAGTTTATTTATTTTATCTAATGTGTTACCATCATCCCACCTACCGAGTGAGTGAGTGAGTGAGGTTTGTATTCCGCTTGTCGCAATATATATCGCACCCAAACAAGCTTCACATATGTTACACATGTGAGGAATCGAACCTTTTCAGCTATAGAGGTGACCCCATCGTCCCTTCACTTGACTCTGATAGCAAACAACACTGTCACCCCTCCAGTCCATATTGGAACTACAAGGATTAAATAGTAGCATTATACTGAATAGTGAGTGAGTGAGTGAGTGAGTTGGGTTTAACGCCTCTTTGAACAATATTTCAGTTACATCACGGCATGTTGTAGACGGTAGACTACTGTTGTGGATGTAGACTGCTGTTGTAGATGGAAGACTGCTGTTGTAGACGGTAGACTGCTGTTTTAGACTGTAGACTGCTGTTGTGGATGTAGACTGCTGTTGTAGACGGTAGACTGCTGTTGTAGATGGAAGACTACTGTTGTAGATGGTAGACTGCTGTTGTGGATGTAGACTGCTGTTGTAGATGGTAGACTGCTGTTGTGGATGTAGACTGCTGTTGTAGACGGTAGACTGCTGTTGTAGATGGAAGACTGCTGTTGTAGACGGTAGACTGCTGTTGTAGACGGTAGACTGCTGTTGTAGATGGAAGACTACTGTTGTAGATGGTAGACTACTGTTGTAGATGGAAGACTACTGTTGTAAACGGTAGACTGCTGTTGTAGACGGTAGACTGCTGTTGTAGACGGTAGACTGTTGTTGTAGATGGAAGACTGCTGTTGTGGATGTAGACTGCTGTTGTAGACGGTAGACTGCTGTTGTAGATGGAAGACTACT